TTTACTTCGGTATTTTGTAATTTGTTGGCCAATATGCTAAACTTGATTGGGAGTGTGTTCTTCGAGGTGTGTTTTTCTGAACAGGACTTTTAATACTTACAATTATTTTAAACAATTATTAACTGGCAAATGTAATATTTATATTTGATAAATATTGTACATTAGCGCAATAATACTTGTGTTGGAATATGGAGTAATGATGTAACCATGTCTTTCATGGGACTTGGTCAGCGTCTAAGTGATTAAGCTAGATTAAATAGCTGGTCACCATGGCTTCATGTGGTTGAGTGAGCTCTAATATTTTGATGAAGCTTTTATTTAAGTCGGGGATTTTGGGGGATCTTGGCTGATGTGAATACATTGGGGCAATTACATACATATCATGTGGGAGTATTATATTTGATGTCAGTTCAGAAAGTTGAAATATGAGAAATGTGTTGAAATAGTCTCTTTAGGGGGCTATTTTTGTCGCAGAGCCTATAAAACTGTTGATTTAGTCCCTAGACTCTTTTAATAGGGGCTAAAATAGTCCTCCATTGGGATTATTTTAGCCCATATGTAAGGATCCCGAGGATAAATTTGACATTTTTATAGACCCTGGGTCTAAAATGACCTCATGTACATAATTAGAGGACTATTTTAACACTTCTCTTCGAAATATCTTGATGTAGAAATACCAAGGGTCTAGCTTCTTGAGCTTTTTGGTTGAAAATGGATTTGATCATTGATCTATATGGCCTAAATTCAATTCCTTTTTGGTTCACACACTCTAACATAGGATGATCCTTTAATTTCTTAAAAAAAATAAACTCTGCGTTTTAGAACTAAAACAAACTCATATCAACCCAAGGCCTTTTCTTATTTTAATTGTTGCAATTGCCCTCCCTCTCTTGTTTCCCTTCATATTTGGACCCGTTTTATCCCCACTCCCATTCAAAACAAAGTAACAACTCTCTGAAAAATTTACTCCTATACTCTTTTCCCTCTCCTCTCTTCCTTCTCTTGCCCTCACTCCCTCCTTTATGGAAAGGTTGAAATCAAAGCCTTGACCACAATGTCCTCTAATATGGCTCCATACCATCGCCACGCTGCCATGATCTCCATAGTCTTCTCTACATCTAAGATCTATCTTTTGCCTCTGCTAATCAAAACCCTCTGTTGAATCCTCCCATCCGCTGATAATGACGAAAATGCCTTTGCTCTTGCTTTTCGACAAGATAATATAATACATTTGCAGATGGGATTTTATTTATTTGTTAGCTATGAGAATTATTGTGGGCCAAACGTGTTTATTGTTCAAAAAAAAGAGTTCATTAAGAGTTGAAAGTGCCAGAAATGAGTTTATGCAAAAATTACACTATTGAATCTAGGTTGACTTCGATTGAGCTCAAACTTCTTTCAATCAGCTGTGTCAAACTAAATTAGCTCCAATTGCTTCTGAGTCCGGGTCCTAATTTTATCACATATCCATGACCACATTTTCATTTATTCTAATTTCATTTCGTTTTGGATTATTTCTCCATATTCGGAGTTTTGAATGGCTAATCAAATTTGGGTTATTTCTCCATATTCGGAGTTTTGAATGACTAATCAAATTTGGGTTATTTCTTCATATTCGGAGTTTTGAATGGTTAATCAAAAAAGGTACTGCTAATTTGTTGTTGAACAATTTGCATTGTTGCATGTGGGAAGGTATACTGCTATGATGTTTCGATTGTTGAGTTGGTTTCTCATTGATCAATGATTCACAGAATTTATTATTGTTTCTATTTCTTATTTGCAACTGTAATTGGAAGCAGATCATGTTGTTGCACCATAGACTCTTGTTGCGAGGAGGGGACACTTATGATCGATATAGGGATTGGCGGCTTGATGTTGATGATATGACATACGAGGTATCCTACTGTTTTATTTCTCTACTACTGGCAAATCACAATATATCTATGAAGAAAAAATGAAGATTTACATACATACCTTTCAATTCCTATATATTTATATATCAGACACCTAAATTTCAATATTTACATGCATGGCACCTTACCAAGCATGAAAAGTGTATTTCACTTTGAAAAGTTAAAATGGTGGTATTTTTTATATAGATTTGTTTTTTAAATTTATTCCCAATTTGCAGGAATTGCTTGAACTGGGTGATAAGATTGGACATGTCAGCACTGGATTGAGAGAAGAAGAAATTGAATGCAGCATTAGAAAATTGAATCGCTCCATCTATGATAAACTCTTCTTATCCACTGACATGGAGAGAAAATGCAGCATTTGTCAAGTATGTTCTCCCTTCTTTTCCAACCACATAATTTTTGTCAGGGGCATTTGCATTCATACCACCCAATTCCTATATATTTACATATCAGACTCCTGAACTTTATTTTTTATATTTATTCCACCCAATTCTTTCATATGACACAAAAAATCACCATTTTAATTTTCTAATAGTGAAATGCACCTTCTCATGCATAGGTAAGGTTATATATGTAAAAATTTAATTTTGGGTGCTAGATATGTAAATGCATATGAATTGAGTGGTGGTATGTATGTAAATCTTCCTTTTTGTTAAATATTATCCTCTATTTTTTCACAGGAGGAATATGAAGCGGAAGATGAAGTGGGAAAGCTGGGTTGCGGCCATAGCTATCATATACATTGCGTAAGAAAGTGGCTTCTTCAGAAGAATACGTGCCCAGTCTGCAAGACTGCTGTCAGTAAAACTTAATTTTGCATAAAAATTTAATGTTTTTTATAGAATTATCTGCGCACTGCTGCTAATTTATTCTGCTCTATGTATAGATACTGTTTTGAACGCTTAGCATTGAATCCATTCTTTGTCATAGTTCGTTTTTTTTTCCTTTTTTGCAGTTTTGATTTCAGTGTGTAAGATGTGAATTTGTGTATTTTGATGAAAGTGCAGTTGTTGAAATTTGTTGAGAGAGATTTATGCTTATTTTGCATAAATTGATGCGTATTTTGCATGTGTGAATGAATATATTAAGCTGATTTATATTTGGGTTATGAAATGAGTAAAGTGCCAAAATAGCCCCCCTATTATTTACATGCGGTCGCTTTAGTTTTAGTGTTTATAGAAGTGCTAAAACAGTCCTGACTATTGAGATCTAACAGAGTAATATTTTTTCGAGAGATTATTTCAGCTCCAATTTAAAGAGTTTGGAGATTATTTTGACACTTCTATAAATTTTGAGACTAAAATAGCCTAATGAAAATGGTTATAAGGACTATTTTGGCAGAGTGATGTTAAAACTTACTAATCCAATTGTAAAATTTGGATATAGGCTTATGAGTGTTAAGTACCGTATCCATTGTATTTAATTTTAAAATGGAGTTTTACATACATGTATGCCACTCAATTTTTATATTTCTACATTTTCAACACCTAAATTATAATTTTTGCATCTATGGCATGAAAAAGGTCCTTTCCACTTTTCTAAAATTAGAAGTGGTATTTTTTATGTGATATGAAAGAGTTGGCAGGTAAAAATATAAAATGCAAAGTTTAGGTGCTGCACAAGTAAATGCATAAGAATTGAGTAAATCTCTTTTTTTTTTGTCGAAAAAATATTACATCAGTACTACGCACGTAGAATTAACGTGTGTGGCCAATGAAATCACGCCACGACAACTCGCGCGATAGAGAAAAAAACGGCGCAGTAACATGGAGAATATTTCTCCCTGTGTTATTCATGTGTTATTAATGTGTTATTGTGTTATTATAACATCAAGAATATTCTCAGGACACAATAACAAATAAATAACACAATAACACCTGAATAACACGGGGAATATTCTTGATAAAAAAAAAGCGGCGCAGTAACACGGGGGAATATTCTTCCCCGTGTTATTCATATGTTTAGGGTGTTATTCATGTAATATTCATGTGTTATTGATGTGTTATTGTATTATTATAATACTAGAAATATTCTCATGACACAATAACACATAAATAACACACAATAACACATAAATAACACGAGTGAAAATATTTCTCATGTTACTGCGCCGTTACGCACGTCGTAGCACGTTACTAATATTTTTCCTTTTTGTCTTATGTTTTTGTTTTTTTACATTTGAAGCATATCATGCTGAAGTAATAGAATATAAAAACTTAACGCATTCATTTGAATATGTTATCACGCCTGACATTCAACAAATTGAAGACACGGCTGAAGCTTCCGTGGTATGTTATTTTAGCTTTAAATATTCAATATCTGAATTAAGCATCTTATTTTTAGACATGAGAAAAGAGGGGTTGAATATGAAATTTTAGAGTCAAATAGGAGACATATTGGACGTCACAGAAATAGAAAATGCACCTCAACTTTAAACGGGAATCGATAATAGAGATGATATCGGTTATTTTGTAAATGCACAGGGCGGGGGAACGAGAGATATACAGAAATGTAAGTGGTCATATGGAAAATTTCATAGCAGCAGCTTGATAAAAGAATTTTTTAAAATACTGCCAATATTAGGATTTGATAAATCTAAAATGTAAAATAAATTGAGAAGAACTATAAAAAAATTAAATTTAAAAGTTTTTTTTTTGATAAAATTTAAATTAAATTAAATTTAAATTGGCTATCAAGTAGCCCGTAAATTTCAAAGAGATCCCTATAATGAAATGTAACAAGAAATAAAAATTAGAGAAATAGTGAGAAATCATTTGATATAAGAAAGGCATTATTTAAACATTAGCAAATAATATATATTAAATTATTAAATTATTAAATTTTAATTTTAATCTGATTTATATTAATATTTTTTAAAAAAGTGCTACTGAGCTCGAGCAAAGGTTGGCTCAATCTTGACAGCATATTGAGCTCAGCTCACAAGCAATACATCAAACCCAAGCTTGTACCGACGCATAGCTGGCTTGACTTGGTCACTTCACTAATTAATTTTATATAAAATTTTCTACTTTAAAAAACATATAATTTAAAAAGCGTGATTACTTTAAATGAAATTATTGAATTTAATCTCAGCCTTTCAGAATGAATCGATATCATGTCCAAATACGGCGATTCCATTTTCAATAAAAGGAGTGATGTACTCATTAATAAATTATTCCTATGCACATCGATCCAATGATGTGCTTTAATAAATACAATAAGTTATAATGATATAATATTTTAATAAATAAAAATAAATTATAATGATATACTACTAAAAATTCTAGAATAATAATACAACTATAAAGAGGCAAGCAGAATTAAAAAGCCAATACCTCCTCGCATATATGGATAAGGTAATAAAATGCCCCCCGCAAGTCTTGTTCTCTGCAAAAATATAAGAAAAAAATTCACACAAATTAAATTTACCACTAGTCACAGACTGCAATTTGCGCATAAAGAAAATGGGAAAAATATTAGATCAGGAGTCCTGATATAGTTTTGCATCAGGACTCCAATCAAGACTTACCACACGTACAAGCAGACCCACCCATAAATTAAATTGGAGATTTGTCTGTACACGTGACATGATTTGACTGGAGTTCAGATACATCAGGACTCCTGATGCAATAATTTCTCAGAAAATGGGCATCATACATACCACACAATTCTTATGTATTTACATGTGAAACAACCTATAATTTGACATTTAGGTTATAGCACTTTGGTGTTAAAACTTATACATAAAAAGGGACAATTCACTTTTAAAAGGTTATTAATAGCAGTAATTTTTATGTAATGTCAAAATATTTAAGTGTAAATAAAAAACTTTTAAGGGTTAGATGAGTAAAAATATCGGAATTGAGTGGTACAAATTTCTGTTAGTTCGTACTGCATGTCTAACACCATTAGAGTCCTCCATCGGCGGTATCAAAGTAAACACGTTAAAATTAGCAGAACAATATATTACATGCCAATCATCTAAAATATTAAATATAATCTCTTAATCATTTTTTGCATTACCACCCTCCAAACACACTCATGAAGGGTTGGAATGAAAGTTTTAGGTGGTTAAGATATTATATTGGAAGTCCAGGCAGTTAAAACGTTATATTTACTGTTTTGGCGGATTAATATGAAAAAATTATATAAAAAATAATAAGAAAAAAAAGCTACATAATTTGCCTAGAAAAACGAGTTTAAGAAAAACTGCAAGTATTATTATAATTATTACTATTTCTTCCTGCAATTAAAGTCTAACCTTTCGGGAAAAGACCTCAATCAGTCTGAACGTTCAGAAGATTCCTCCAACTCATCATGACGACAAAGGAACTCTATAATGCACGGATAGACTTCATTAGTGGCCTGCAAATGTTGAACAGACATATGAGCACATAAGAGTGGCACAATAGAGAACGGTTTAAGGGGTATTAAATACCAGTCGCCCTCCGACCAAATCATAATGAGCATAGTGTGGGCCCTCCGGTTTCCCAAATACTTTGTAAGAAACCTTTGACTCAGGAATGAGCTTCACCGTTTCTGTAAATTCAGATTGAAAGTGAAGATAGATAAAAAAACAGATCTAGATTGTAAAAGTTACTGGAGTAAAAAGTTCCTATGAACTGCACCATATACAGCTTCAGGAGGGCAGATGAGATCTTGGTCCCCTGCAAGTGCAAGAACAGGGACATCACATTTGTGCAGAAAGTCCTTGTAAGAGAAAGTGCCTGCTCGACTGCGCAGTCCTCCCTCCCGAAATGCTGATGTTAGCTGCAGGATAACCTTGGCGGGTATAGTACCTGCAAATCATAATAAACTTATGAAACTAAGGGGTAGAGACTGGCACAACTCTGCAAGAAGTTTTTTGCACTAGAACGTAGCAGGACTGGGTGAAATTTATAGAAAAAGGGCAACAAAATAAGCAATTTCTGTTCAGATTGCAATAGTTATTGCATAGACCACCATAATATGCCCTGATGATCCATTTCACGCAGGTTCCATGGTCGCTTCGGCACCATATGATTTGTATTGAATGCTAATTAATATAAGATTCTTCAAATAAACTCTGTATGCATTCTCCCATAAACCAAAACTTTTAAAAATCCTCAAGTTTTGCGATACAATTGTGCAGCCTCCAACTATGCTCTCATATTTAAGACAATTTCCTACATTTCATCTAACTATTATTTTTAGTAGAAAAAAACTCACTAATATCAATCTCCATTAAATATCTACATAGTTATAAATTCACAATGTTTTCAAGAAACCATCAATTTTTTGCTCAAAAAACTCAACACATCACAAAAGTCTCAACAAAAACCTCCTTGGACAATATACTCACAGAAATTATTCAAAACAAGCTTCTCATATAGCTCTGGAAGCATCATGTCTTGTGCAGAAACCTGACTATTAATCCATGACAAAACATATGGTGGACGAGATGAAAGGGGATACGCGGCAGTCATTAGTGCTCCTAAAGGAAGAACTGGGACATTGAGAGCCTGCGCTGGGTCCGCCTGTACCAAAAATTTGACCGACGTTAGTTCACAACAGAGCAGCCTCCTAAACCGCATCGGTATCAATACAGGATTTTACTATACTTACAAGAGGCAACAACAATTTCAGCGAAGATTTTGAGGTAGTGTAGTCAACCGATGCTGCTAAAGTAACAATAGCTGCTAAACCACATTTACTTCCTTGTGAAGCTGAAGGATTAAAATGACACGTTAGGGCAGCAGAAAGAAAACGAGCATAAAAAAAATATGGCCGCAGAAAGCTTTTAGTGAACATGAGATGTTGAAGATGAGGTGTAGCACGAGTGATGACAAATATTCAATGTTTCTTATTTAATCAGCTAAGCCTCAGGCCCCCATCCATCAATCAAAATATTAATTTCAAAGGCTACACAATAGCCCAGTTGATTTGTACTTTTGTATTTTTGTTTTTTTACAAATATCTACATGAACTTAAAAGTAATAATGATTAACTGTAATGTGAATTCACCATCTTCCAATGTTCACAAAATGAAAGCATCTTACCGCATTTTGATAACAGAGCATATAGCAAGATACCACCCATCGAATGACCGATTGACAGCAATTTGCTATCTTTTACCATACTATGTTCTCTTATGTATTCCATCTACAGTTTAAATGAGGTTGAGATACTCGTTAGGCATCATTTAAAATTGTAGAGAACTTTAGATCAGATTATCATTAATTTTCATTAAAACAACAGGAAGTCACCTCACCGCAGCAGTCAAATCCTCCTCCAAATAGTTATCAAAATCCCAATCATATGTAACAATGAGATCAAGCTGTTTCTGAAAATCTTCTATGGTAGATGAAAGGCGCTCTTGCAAGTCAAACAGCTGCGGAGAAACAGATTTTTGGCCTTCCTCAACTGTTTTGATAAGACGCTGGCTCAGTTCACTGAGCTGGCCAGCAACAGCAGAATTCTGCCTTGCTTCAATCAAACTAGAAATTTTAGCTGCAATCTCATTAAACCGTTCAGCTAATCTCGCATCTTCCAAGAGTTTCGAGATCTGCTCAAGGAATTTCTCAGAGATGGTCCTTAGTTGACCTTCATTTAAATAACCTGAAAGCCTTTCAGCTAAATTCATAAAAGTAGAAGTAAGCTTAGCAACTAACTGTGATTCATCCCCAGAAGTCACCTCTCCCTGGTTACCATTCACCTTGGAGATTGTTGAGTTTATTTCTGGGGTGATGTTCACGGTTGAATGTACACCCACAGATAAATAACCAGTCGAGTTTACTTCATCTGTAGAATCAAAATTCGATATGGCACGCTTATCAGAAGATTGAATGGCTTCATTGGGTTCACAACTACGCATGCTCAGTCCAGCACCTCTCACTTCAACAATCCATGTATCAAATCCTTGTTTAGACATGTGACGAGCAAATGAAGCCTGAATTTTCAAAAACAATAGCATAGCCTAGTAAAAATAGTAAAAAAATAGCAGCATTATATAAACTTAAGAAAATAATAATAATAAAGGCCCACACATGCATGGATCTGCTTACTCAAAACTAAAGTGAATTATTGCAATAAATCAAACAAAGAGGAAAAAGCAAAGAGGAAAAAAGGAACAGGAAAATAGTCTAACTCTGTCTAATGCGCAAATTTTGACATACTTAGTCTAATCACATTCAATGCCAGGATTTCAAGTTGGGAAAAAATCTGAAAGCGATGTTAAAAGCATCCATTTACCCTTACCATTGCGCCTTCACTCAACATGGTTCCCGTGCCTCATATCGAGCAAACATCACCTCCTTTGTCAACTTCAAGTAGACATATGTTACCCAATTTGCTAGCACGCAAAAAACTGCTAAAAATTCTCAGGCTCTCTTGTATATTATGAGATAATAGCCTAATGAGTGATTCTGACACTTCACGATTTAAGCTCTAGTAGGATATGATTGATATTGATGATCCGAGTCATCCAAGTGACTCTTACAGAAAGCCTTTAAAAAGGTTCATTTCGATATGAACTCGGCCTCTGACAATCAAAGATCTTGAACATGTTACTTTTACTCCCCAACTCATAAATCTATGTAGTACCGACACTTCTAAAACTGTGTCTGATATCGAAGGAAAACCCAAAACACAACTCAAAATTGCAACTATTATTGCAAGACGCCACAAGGTTACATTGACGACTCTTCAACAAGAAATAGCAGGCAAGGGTAAACAGTAAATGACAATAAGGATTGCTGAAATTAAGGAAAAGGCAATAACATAAACAGAACAGCTCTCTGAGATGGGTACGATAGGGCGAGGATGGAACATCGGCGTTGGCTGCCGTGGGGAAAAGGCCAGGAAGGCTAGTGGCTATTTGGAGGAGGCTATTTGAAGGAGTCAGACAAGTGACTTGAAGGTGTTGGAGAAGACAGGCGGCCTGCTGGAAAGGAACCAGAGGGGCCAACAAGGCTAGCGGGCTGTTGAGAGGGCAGGCCAGGAGCAGGGAGGAGCTGGAAGGTGGCTAGCAACAGTGGAAGATGGGGCTTGGTGGCTGGATTTTGAAATGGCAGCAAAGAGACGTAATCAGCAAAGAAACGTAAGTGTGGTAAGATAAATGCCTTATTAGGGTCAAGCTACAACCGCACCACTCGAACCCTTGGAGACGGTCACCACCTCGGACGACGGATAGCCGGAACACTTCCTCAACTTTGAATACAACCCTTGAAGGGAACAACGCCTGTGACGGTAATCTGAATTCAGAAATCACATAACTCCAAAAACTGAGAAACACCAAGCATACCACCTCTTATTTATAATGAGGCTTAGAATTTGCCGACCCCACATAGTGGGATTAAAGGTTTGTTTGGGGCAGCTGCAGCTTATTCAGCTTCTGCTGATAAGCAGCTTATCCTGATAATCTGCTGATGAGCAGCTGATCCGAATAAGCTGTCTGGCTGTTTGGTTTGTGCGTTTGGAAAACAACTGATTCTGAAAAAATGACAATTTTGCCCCTGTTCTGAATAAGTTGTTTTGCTGTTTGGTATGTGCATTTGGGAAACAACTTATTTGTAACTCTCTGTACATAATTTTTTCAAAAAAAAATTTAAATTATCTACAAAGTAAATTGTAATTAATAATTTATATTTTACTCTAATTTTAAAATAAAAGAATATACTAGTAAAAAATTTGAATAAATAAATAAAATGTACTTTGGAAGTGTGGAGGAAGCGGTTGCGGGCAACATAAGTGCTTAATGCACTGTTTTTTTGAGTAAACAAACAATAGAGAGTCCAAGAAAGATAACAAGTTCAAATAAAAGGCAAACATTTATCCGCGATAACACTCCCTTTGGTCACTTGAAGAAATAGAAAAGTTTAAATGAAATTGAACCATCTTCAAGAAAATGGACATTCCACTTCCACTGTTTCAACTTGCACAGACACTTACAGAGAGGCAAATCATAATAAAATAAACCATGGAACTCTGATGTCCAAGCAATGGCAGATAGTTCATTGCTTTAACGCACATATGGTTGATGCTAACGGAAAAGAGAAAACCTAAGAGAGTCCAAATTGCGGTGACAACGAAGAAAACAGACCGTGGAGCTCAGTTCTATAAGCAATGGCAGCAAGTTAATTTCTTTGTATGTTGTGAATCCGTTAACTTCCCGCTGGTTGCATCTTGAAGGTAGGCAAGGGCTTCGGTGAGACAGCGAAGATCTCCGTATCCTGCCATTCGGTCATGCCTTCCTAAACGATCGAGAGACCAGGATCTCGCTAGGGAAGAGGAGACGAGGTCAGGAGAACCAAGATCGCGAGCAGAGGTAAATGGTAATAATCAGCGAATGAACGCGGACCGTGGGGGTCATCCCGCGGTCCGCGTTATTCACAAAATAAAAACAGAGTTTCACAGATCGCAGTGAAAAAGCTCTAACCAAACATAACAGCGGCATTTTGAAAATGCCACCGCAGCCAATAAGCTGTCCCAAATAGACCCTAAGGCTTTGTTGTTGATGTTGTTGTAATATTTTAAAATAATGAAGAGAATAAAAATAATAAGAATTCATAATTTAGGCACTATTTATAACAGGAAGAATTCAGAAAAGACAAATACTACTAAAAATAATAATAATTCAAATTTGGCAAGTGGTAGGAAGGAAAGATGGGAAAAAGAAAGGAAGGGGGTTGGTCCACAGGCTGGCTCCCATAGCCCCGCATCAGTCTCCCGGGGTTGGGGGAGCTTTGATCTCGTTCGTTGAAGTTTCTAACTCCTTGTAGTACTGTGTCAGGTCGGCCGTGTTGAGCGTGACTGAGACATTGTAGCCCCATGACAGGTTGATTTTGTAAGCACTGTCGTTCCAAAGCACATTTTGGTAGAATAGGTATCCGTCCACCTTTGGCACGCCTTGAGTTGGAACTGTAGAAAGAAGAGTATTCTCACGGCACAGGTATCAAGCCATTCCAGGGGTAACCTGCTTCTTCCATTCCTTGTAATCGGCTAAGTGCAACTAAGAAACTGGTATGGGAGGAGGGATAAATTTGGGGGTGAAATTTTGTGGCAGGCTGCACCCCTCTCACCAACTCCCACTCAAGATAGATCTCTTCATAATTGATAGAATCTGGATCCCACTGAAGAATTTTCGTCCCCATTAAACTCATTGGGCCCAATACAAAGTTGGGGTTCATCTCTCCTTTCTGGTCATCTTATGAGGGGTACCACACGGAACAGGAAATAATCTCTGAATAACTCCACGTGATACTTTCGACATGGCACAAAATGATCTCACTTCTTATACGTTGGACCTATTTCAGTAAGGGTAACTAAGGAAGGGGTCTATGCATTTTAAAAATTTGCAATGATTTGATCAGTAATTGTCATGTTTCTATGGTCGACTCCTCAAAATCATGCCCTTTTTGGAAATCCCAAGCCATTCAAGTTGATGTTCCTTTCACCACCTGCGAAACAATAGCTCGAGGTACCACCACTTCATACTCTGTATGAATGCCCATTACATCACGGTCACTACCTTCCCGAATGGTTGTTGCTACCTCAACTAGAATCTCTATCTCGGGATAAACTGGAATCGGTGGTGTCTCTTCCTTGTTAGATGACAATTGTGGAACCTCTTTGATGATAACTTTTTTTTCCGGATCGTCGTTTTAACTCTTCAATTGGAAGCTAGTCCTCGTTTATGTCCTCAACTTCTGCAGTGTATGCGATGTCTTTACCCAACTTTTCAATGATGCCTTGCGTGGTGAAGTAGATCACTGATTTCGTGGTGCATTATGCTTCAACATGTCCAAATATATGACAATTGCCATATTTTCTGGCTGTGACAAACTTGCACATTGGTTTTGTTGGAAAGTAGCTAGGGGGTCGCTTCGTGTTGTGGTCTCTTCACTTCGAAAGCTAGGATCTGTAACTTTTGTCGGTAGTAAGTTGATAGGAACTAGTGCTGTGTTTCTCGTTTCATCTTCACATATTCTTGTTCACCCCTTCGACTTATCTGATCATGGTCGAGGATAGCCTTCCATTGGTTCATCTTCCATGTCTGTAATCCACCGCCAAAGTCGACAGATCTCTCCTTGTATCTCCTCTTGGAAAGGCTCAGACATGTATCTCAATGGTGGCATGGCTAGGGTCTAGAGTGGGGGGTGAGAGAGGGCTAAAAGTTTAACTTAGGGTTATTGATTTTGAAAATAAGCAAGAAAATCATTAAGAGGAATTGAGGGTTAAGTCAAAGTTTTGACAATGGTTGAGAATAGGAAAGAACGATTTTTTTAGGTTTAGGTTGTGAAAACGATATCTGGTGATAGAAAAGAAATTTTTGGTTTATGGTGAATACTAGGGAACCCTATGATAGGACTAGGGTTGGGCTGGCTCTGCTGTCAAATGATACCGGAGGAAAAACCCAAACCACAACTCAAAATTGCAACTATTATTACGAGACGCCATAAGATTACAATGACGACTCTTCAACAGGAAATTACATAGCAGAGGTAAACAGTAAACGATAATGAGGACTGCTGAAATTAAAGAAAAGATAATAATATAAAACAGAAATAACTCTCTGTGACAGATACGACAAGGCGAGGATGGAACAGGCGGCCGAGAGGAAAAGGTCGGGAAGGCTAGTGGCTGCTGGGAGGAGTCGAACAGGTGGCCTGAAGGTGTTGGAGAGGATCGACAGCTTGCTGGAAAGGAACTGAAGGGGGCAACAAGGCTAGCGGGCTGCTGAGAGGGCCAGCCAAGGGCGTGGAGGAGCTAGGTGGCTGACAACAGTGAAAAAGGGGGTTATAGTGGCTGGATTCTAAAATAACAATAGGGAAACAAAAGTATGATAAGATAAATATCTTGTCAATGTCGAGCACACCCAGAGCACTACTCTGACCCTTGGACACGGTCACCACCCAGAACGAGGGACAACTAGAACAATTTCTCGTCTTC